CTTAAAATGTAATGTATTCCTGTTATGCAAAGCTTAATTTTCAACATCCATTATTTCAGTATTTAGGCTCACATGAACCTTCAGAAATCATTCTAATATGTGATTTGGTGCTCAAGAAACATTTCCTATTATTATCAATGTTGATATTGTGTAAACTGTTATACTTTTTTCAGGATTCATTGCTGAATAGAAGGTCCAAAAGAAGATAATTTATTTAAAGTAGAAGTCTTTTGTAAAATTATATAATGATAATGTCACTTTACTGTCACTTTTGATCAATTTAATGCATCCTCACTGAATAAAAGCTTTTGAACGGCAGTTGCGGAGCTATGAAAGAGCAATGACAGTTTCCTGAAAACAAAAGCAGCCGTACCGTGTGGAGAACTCTTGAGAACGAGGCTCAACGCAGCGGCGTCTGTCTTCCAGAGGTTCGCTACACCTGAAGAAACACACAAAAACACGAGCCCAGCCAGAACTCCTCAGCAACAGTCGCCTGTTTCTATTTCGCTGAAAACATGAGCCGCAGGGAAATGAGAAGGACTTTGGCAGCTCTCAATTAGAAAATCCAAAAAGTTACAGATTCTTTTTTTCTTTACAAATCTCTTGTGGTTCTGGAGACACTTCGAACCCTGTGTTAAGCGTACTAGAAACCCTATAGTCATATTGTATATGTGCCGTTAATGTTCCCAAAGGTCAAGCTTTCCCATAAAAATAAAAACAATAACAAAGGATTAGCCCATGTAGTGTGACCAATTACCCAAATTGTACTTGATGTGGAATAGAGTGGAAAGCAGCAGCATTAGCAGGCAAGGTGGAGCAGATATTTAGACTGTCATGGCTAGAGCAGGATAAAGAGAACAGAGAGCGTGATGAGACAGCTCGCAGAGAGAGATATTGAGTGTGTGTTTGTTAAGCTGTGTATATGTGTGTGTGAGCGTGCATCCCAGAGCTGCCGATTAGAATGGGGGATGAGAGAGCTTTTGTCTCCTGCCTCACTGTGAACTGAGAAATGAGGGGATTTTCTTCTCAGAAGTGGAGAGAGGCATTTGGTTCAAAGGCAACTGACTTTAATTCAGAGCCTGCATCGCTTACCGATGCACTGCAAGCTTTGGGACATCCTGTCCTGTGTCTGCTATCCTAAACTGTCCCTCCTCCCCCTGTCTTAGGCCTGGTCTGTCCGTCCTGTCCTGTCCCTGTCATTTTCACCATTCCCTTTCATTCGGACTCGTCCTTAACAGCTTTGTCCTTTCCTTGCTACCGTAACCATCTGAATTTGTCCTCTCTGTGCCCTATTTCAGTCTTTGGCACTCAAACAAACATTATTTTTTGCTTCCAGTCGTATCAAAGAACATTACATTGAATTCTGGGTAAATTATGTGCGACGGGATGGTTTATTTTAATCAATGTCAGAGGGGTTACATAAGCAGGTTAATTTGGGAATGATATCTATGTTTACAATGCTGCTTAACTGGCATCTGGATGCAGGAAATCAGGGAAATTATTTTGTTATATCACCAGTCTGTGCATAAGATTGTTTATGCATAGGGTTTATATGCAAGTGCAAGTGTGTGTATGATAACCATCGGATTAGAGAAAGTGTGTGTAACTGAACAGACAAATGTGAGACTCGGAGGACACAGCCAATGGGGAAACACCTCACTGCCCAGGGCATTTTTCTCCTCCGCATGCTCCTGTCCCCTCCCCTCCTCTCCTCACTGCAGTTAAAGAGAAGGTCATGCATAATATGCCACTATATTGTCAAGCTCTGTAAGTATCTCATTGTAATAAGCCCACGTAAATTAGACGAGCTGCCTCAGGGATTGTGCTCTTCTGTCATATAATGGATTTCATACATCCCCTTGGGCAGACATTCCTCATGTCCTCATGCAGCATTTGGTGCAAAGCCTATAATGACCATTAAGGTTTAAAATGCACCATCGGATCTGAAAGGGGCAATTCAGATGCATGATTTAAAAGGTTAAAATCCACAAAATTTGCATTTATGACAATATGCTTTTTGAAAATGGCACATCTATAAAACAAAAACGTTAAGAGTAAGACTTTTCATAGCTATCTTAAAGTACTCTCCTTTTTTCTATTTAGTATTTAATGCTGGACGTCACCTGTATGGAACAGATGTTTAATGGTAATGTTAACCTTAATTTATTTATTTAAGCAACATTTTGAAGCCCTTATCATCAACATCTGATGAAAATTGTCTATGATGGTTATTTGCATCCACTAATGTAATTAGAAATCACATAATTTAATAGATTTAATTTTAATATATTAGTTTAATCTGCTCTGTTTAATGAAATAGAAACATTATAACACAGAAAGGTCTGGGAGAAAAAGGAAAAGAAAAATAGAAAATGTCTGGAAAAGTAATTTAACGGAATCTTAATATTCATGATCCAAAATATTTCAGCAGCTAAGTATTTCTCTTGTGTTAAGCAAAACCTACTTGCAAACAAATCGTTCTTTGATTATTTTCTGTTAATTGATCAAATGGTTCACAAAAAAAGCCTGAATGGTTTATGAAAATGCGAAGGGTCAATTCTGTTAATCATTTCACATATTAGATATTATTTCTTCTACTGGAAACAAAAGGAGATATTTAAAGTATTTTTACAGTATAAAACACCACCCATTTTCATTGCATGGAAAAAAGCAGTTCGAAAACATATCCTTTTGTTTTCCACAAAAGAAAGAAAGTCTCATGGTTTGGAACAACATGAGGATGAGTGAATGATGACAGAATTTACATTACTGGCTAAACTATTCCATTTCCAAGTTCCAACCATACAGAGATTAGCACTGAGCTAAAAGCTTTTCTGGAGCCTTCATTGTTCTGCATGTTTAATTATCCAGGCACTAGCTATGTGTGTGTGTGTATGCGCTTGGCACAGTAGCTCTGGAGAGCGATGGGGAACGGACTGCTGAGGGAACCTCCACGCTATTGGTCTACAGTAGAGGGGGTTGTGTGGGCATCGAGATCTGTAATATACCTGTTGTGAAGTTAAGAAAATGGTTTCAAGATAAAAATAGAGCCGGTCCCGTCCTGACCCATTTTATAGACAATATGCTCTGGAAAAACCCTCCTGGGCTGAACGAGAGAGGGTGAGAAAGAGAGCACGAGAAAGATATGGGGAGTGGGAGGCGGTGACACAGTTGTAAGGTTCTTGACAGAAATAGTTGTGGGCCTGTTGCCATGATCAGCCATTATTCAGGCGACACAGGCTTCGATTTAAAACTCCTCGTTCCAAACAAAGTTTCCACCAGATAACTTGCGGTATAATGGCATCGTCTGAGCACAATAGGTGCATGTGTGGGTGTGTGTGATTGTGTGACCTCAGACAAGATGTGTATAATGTGTGTTGTGGTGCCTTTATCTCAGGTTTGATAAATGGTTTCTATAGTCTCTCTCCTCTACAGATGGTATTGAGATTCAAAATGCTCCCGTCACTGAGATGCAATCACACCCATCACACTGCAGACTCAAAGAGACATGTAGTTTCTAAAGGCA